ATACACACACGCACACACACATACCTGTGCACTTACACGCACATACACACGCGCACACACACGCACATACATGTGCACACACACACACACACACGCACACACACGTACATACACGCACACACACGCACACATACACGTCAGGGTACAGGCCCGTACACTGCAGAACACGCTGCCTGTAACGGACCATACTACAGGCACAGGTGGGTACTACAGACATGCACATACACGCACACATACGCGTGAAGGACAGCCTCGTACACTGCAGAACACGCTGCCTGTACCTGACCATACACTACAGGCATAGGTGGGTACTACACACACGCACACCAGCTTCGCAGGCACGCGGTGCGGCAGCAGTTAGCTATATCACACCGAACGACTTGTTACACTTAATCTTTGCACATTTGATTGCAGGAGTTGTTTAAAGCTTTCTAGTGATGATGCCCCAACTGTGCTTGGTGGCAACGAGTTCCAGTCTACGATAAATGTTGGAAAATACGATTTTTTTATCGATTCTTTGTTACTAACGATCTGATATTTGAAGGCATGACTGTTTTACCCCCTTGCAGGTTCGGGCTGGTACCTGACCGTGGAGTCTCCGATCGAGCCGTTCTACGCCCAGGCTGCCCGACTGTCTACCCGGCGGCTAGGGGCCTGGGGAGGGGAGGGGGAGATGTGCCTGTCCTTCAGCTACCACATGTCTGAGAAGATACCTGGCTACTTCCCGGAGTAAGTAAACTTACAAATTAGTACTTTTCCCTATTCACGAAACTGGTAGCAATCTTAGAAATGAGACTGAATAGAAAGAAAGAAGCAGAAAAAAGAAGTAGATTTGTGTGTTTATCAGAACTGCTTTGATTTCCTCTTCTGTTTAAACCTATGTCTGCATCTGTAGTGTCAGTCTATACCTGCGTCTACCTGTACTTACGTATTTCTTGTGTATTTTATTCTCACTACTTTAGGAAGTTCCCGGGCAGTACTAACGCCCTGTCTGTGTACGTGACTCCGGATGGCGAGCTGTTACTGTGAATCTGAATATGTGCCTGTGCCTCTTCTATCTTTGTCTTGGTTACTGTGTCTATACTTGTACCTGAAATCTTAATATCTTGTTTTGTTAGGAAGTTCCCGGGCAGTACTAACGCCCTGTCTGTGTACGTGACTCCGGACGGAGAGCTGGGAGAACCGCTGTTCACCGGCTCAGATATCATGGAGGGGGGAGACTGGAGGGAAGTCAGGGTTACCATACCAGCGGAGGGGGAGTTCAGGGTACGTTCTGTGTTTTTTCTTGTATCCAGAGCCGCGCTTATTCAGGCATAGAACTATATAGCTCTGGATACCTCTTGTCTGTGTGAACATCATGCAGGCTACATGGAAGTCAGGCTCACGATACTGGCAGAAGGGGAGTTCAGGGTACGTTTTGTGTGCTTTATCCAGAACCATGATCAGGAACGGTTCAGGATAGTCTACGCGTATCCATAACCGTGCCTGGGGCAAATCTACGTTCTTGGATACGCGGAGACTATCCACAACAGTGCCTGATCCTAGCCCTAACCAGAGGGGGTGTTCAAGGTACGTTCTGTGTGCCTCACAAAAGCTAAGGTGCCGCTACTTTAAAAACAAAATCATATGTTTATGTGTGAACCAGATTCTGGTCATCAGAAGCCTGACGGGGCTGGAAGGAAGTCGGGTTTTATGTATGTATGTATGTACGTATCTATCTATCTATCTATGTATTTTGACCCGTTGTTTGGCACTTATCCTGTCCCAGCATCGATACTGCCAACTAGCGACAGTGTTAAGTACTGCACCTGCCGTCTAGCGGCTGTGTTATGTACTGCACCCATTTGATGGTTTTTTGTTGTTCACAGATCGTGTTCGAGGCTCTGATCTTATCTCAGTACACCGGAGACATCTCCTTAGATGACGTCATGCTGGATGCAGGCCCGTGTGAAGGTAATAGGTCATCAGTTAGAAGTCCCGGTTGTTGTTTTTGTTTGTTTATCTGTTTTTGTTCATCTACTTGTTGTTGTTGCCCGTGTGAAAAGTCTACGTTCGGCTGCTATTTCTGTTTTTTATTAACTAATTTATTGTTGTTCAGGTCTTTTTCATCCCTGTGAAAAGTCCCGGTTTGAGTGCTGTCGTTTTTGTTTATTTATTTATTTGTTATTGTTGTTGTTCAGATCTTGTTCACCCGAGCCAGAAGTCGCGGTTCGGGTGCTCCTGTTTTTGTTTATTTATTTGTTTATTCATTTATTTATTAATTATTGTTGTTGTACAGATCTTGTTCACCCGTGCCAGAAGTCGCGGTTTGGCTGCTGTTCTGACGGCAGGACCAGAGCCAGAGGTCCGTCCGGGGAGGGATGCCAGCGTCTGCAGACTGAAGTCAGAACGGTGCCGAAAGGTAGGTCTGGTCACCCCGTATTTGGTAGATATGCTTTTTTTTTGTATTCCAACATCTAATCAGAAGACGTGGTGACGGAACACTCAAGTTTTTTCGTGGTCGACTCGGAACCAATAGGTCCCGGGTTCGAGTCCTGACATGCCACCGATCTAGGCACTTTACACGACTTCCTCTCTTTACTCAGGTGTAAATGAGTATTGTATTGTTCCCTGTACGTGCGTGTGTTGGTGGCGGCATTAATATAAGTTGAAAAAACTTGAGTGTGCCGTCACCACGTCTTGTGACTACATCTTGGAATATATATTAAAAAAATATGCTTCCATCTGGACAGATGATGGTAGTATTCTAGTGTAACGGCTGTTATATCCAGAACCGTGCTTTATCCAGAACCGTGATACAAAGTACCTTTTTGACTTCTGTCTGCTTTATCCCGAATCATACTTTATCCAGAACCGTGCTTTATCCAGAAACATGCTTTGTCCCCTGTGTTGGTGGTGGCATTGATATAAGTTGAAAAAACTTGAGTGTGCCGTCACTACGTCTTGTGATTACGTGTTTGAAATGAAGAAAAAACGCTATATCTAGAATCCGTGCTTTATCCAGAACCATGACAGATTTTTTTTTCTAAATTTCAGTGACCGTATCAGACTGTACCCTGGAGCTGGGTGACCGGTTTGGGGCCTGCTGGAAAACCTACCAGTCCACAACCTACGCTCTCAGGAAGTCTGGCAAGATGTCAGACGTGCCGGCTTTCTGCGCGTGAGTAAACGACATTTCTTCCGTAAATTATTTTATCAGGATGGTAAATGATTGAACAGTGAATGAAAAAATTTCACTTAATATTTAGAATTTAGAATTTAGAATCTTAAATCTTAAATCTTAAATCTTAAATCTTAAATCTTAAATCTTAAATCTTAAATCTTAAATCTTAAATCTTAAATCTTAAATCTTAAATCTTAAATCTTAAATCTTAAATCTTAAATCTTAAATCTTAAATCTTAAATCTTAAAGATGTAAGATTAGTAGATCTAAGATTAAAAGAACAGACTGGTTATTCTCGATTTATTTCCCTCAGGGCTCACAAGACGCTGTATACCTGTTACTATGACAACGTGGACAGCCTGTGCGCGGACGATCCGGACTTCGGTAACTTCAAGGCCAAGTTGCGCGACGACGTCGGCGGCGTGAACCGGAACTGCAGGCTGGGGCGGAACGGGGTCAGGAGGGGGAGGAGAGCTGTGCAGACGCCCGAGGAGGTCATGCGGATGCTGCGTTAGTGTAAATGGAGTTCTGATCGAACTTTAATTTCGCGGTTTTAAAAAGCCGATAACCCTTCCATCGCGAATTCATGTGAAAAATTCAAGAAAACAAATAAAAAAAACTAGACAGGTAACATCCCTGGGCTGGGCTGGGGATGCCCTAGATAGGGCTTTGCCCAGTATTATATAGAACTAGAACATTTGCGTTAGTGTAAACGGTGTTCTTTAGGGGGCCTAAAGAATTCATACGAATTTTACAAAATACGTACAATCCATTATCCGGAAAGTCCGAAGAAAGTCTGATAAAATCGTCTAAAAGACGTCAAAAATATAAGCCGTAGCCTAAACCTCTGCTTTGAGAGTTGACATTTATAACAATGAGGCTAATTTACATTCAAATAGATTGTTTTTGTTTTGTTGTGATTTGATCACACCTACATTGAGAAGTTTCAGCACGCACAGAACCTTAAGTTTTCTACTGTACTCATCACGCACATTTTCTACTGATAACGCACATTTAAGGCCAGTATCAAAAGACAATTAAAACTCCCTTAACTGAATTACTAAGATTGTCATAGCGGACTTAACTTGATTTGCATATCAAAATCATTTTCAACAGCAATTGTTTCTGTGTATCTTTTACCTGAATGTCGAACATTCGTCTAAGTTACAAGCAGTTAGTAATTCTCAGTATCATGTTCTGTGTATGTTTAGTTGTTAAGTAAAGATTTCATTTCATTGAGTGTGGAAATGCGAATGTTCTGAACGGCAAATCGTTGTGGAGTCGAACCTGATCTGTTCATATATACAAGTAGGTTTTTGATGTGTTGCCTGTTGTGTTGTCATGTCAAAAGATTGGTAGAGAACAAGGAATAAAGGGAACACAACACGATATATTGTTCTGTCTTGGGCCATGCCACACCGACTTAATTTTATGGATGACATCCACAAAAAGCCAGCATGTGCCGGCTTGTCGTGTACGTCGCTATGTACTGCCGCAAATTCACAATACCAGCTTTGTATTCCTGTTGTTTAGTAGCATTGGTAGAACAAGGCATAAAGGGAACACAACAAGATATTTTGTTCTATCTTACACACAGGTAAAAGTTGTACAGGTAAGAAACACATACCTGAGACACACACGTACACGCTTCTGTAGCCGCCATCTTGAAACACACGGTGTAGCAAAACATGACGTCTCAGTTCCAGTCTTTCTTTCAAAGTACTGTCCACTTCTCTTGAGAATTTCCTCGGCAGTGTCTTGAGCGGAAAATCCATCTTAAGATGAAGAAGGAGAGAGTATCCATGGCAACCAAGACGCGTGTGGTAACAACATCTTTAAATCCGCCGTCACAAGTCCCGAAGCACGTAGTATGAATAAAACACAAACTGAAATCTCTGAGCGTCCTTGTAAAAAAACCGCCATCCTTGTGCCACCTGTGCCACCCACTGCAGTTTTAAGGCCTCCTATCAGAGTTTTAAGGCCTCTCACCGCAGTTTGAAGGCCTCCCACCGCAGTTCGTCAGCTTCCAGCATTGATTTGCTAATGAGCTCTGATGACCCCCCCCCCCATTTATTGTCATAAAGTCGTTCCAGGTTTAACCTTCTCCATGCTGCTTAACCCAATAACCTACACAAACTTGGTGCCAATGAGCCACACCTTAGCACTCTAAATGTTAATAAACTCAACCAGAAGATAACAAGAGCTATACTTTGGATAAGACTCAGACTTCAAAGGTCTACCCGTTTAAAGAACCCAACACACATATTGATAACAGAGTAGGGTGAGCACGCACAGATCGCATATATACATGGGATCAGTTATCTACTGATGCAAGTTTTTATTACTCATTGGATCCCAAATATACATACTATGCACATACTGTGAAGCACTAATAATAAACAAGTTTAAGTCACAAGTACAGATTTAGTGCAGGTGACGTTTACTGCCGTACCATACTGGTTTGATGGGCCCGTAAGTGGGGCATCCTGGAGTGCGACTAACACAACCTGCCAACTCTTGTACTCAATAAACGTTAGTCACACAGCCTCTGGCGAGTTGGACACTCTTGGCATAGTTTCAGCCTAACAAATCATTATCATCATCATCTTTCTAATCTCCAAGCAGATTCTACGGTGGCAAGCCTGTAACCATTAGCCAAAGAAGTGACCATTAACGAGATGGGCCACCTTGACATAATTTTAGCTTTTCCCATAAAACAAAATTTAATGTCTCTTAATCAAACTAAAAGGGACCCTACCGTGACACACATGTATGTGTCTAATTTTGTATCTCGTTTTCTTACTTTACTGTCTCTAACTAGATGGATAACCTTGCCCTAATTTCAGCTTTTCCAATAAAATACATGGTTCAGCAACTTCTTGATCAAACTACAAGCAACCCGCGGTGACACACATGTATGTGTCTAATTTTGTATCTCGTTTTCTTACTTAACGGTCGCTAACTAGATGGGCAACCTTGGCATAATTTCAGTTTAACCGATTTAGCACATAACCTGCAGGTATCATACAGCGATACACATGTATATAACTCATTTTCTTACTTTACTTGGCACCATCTGAGATGTAAAAGTACTGCAGATGTATCTTGAACAGTGTTTCACGAGTTGAACAGCCTTGACATACTTACAGCGCCGGTAACAAACTACACGGACATTTACAGACATCCCACGGCGAAACAGATGTTTGTTGCTCATTTAGTCACTCCTCTTTCCTTGGCATCATTTAAGATATACAGCAGATGTAAGGAATACATTAGGCCTTTGGTCCCTAACTAGTTGGCATAATTTCAGCTTTTCCAATAAAATACATGGTTCTCAATCAACTTAAAGGTAACCCGCAGCGACACATATGTATGTGTCTAATTTTGCATCTCAGTTTTTTACTTAACTCTAACTAGTTGGCCAACCTTGGCATAATTTCAGTTTAACCGATAAATACATAAACTGCGGGTGACACACATCCATATAACTCGTTTTGTTACTTTATTTGGCACCATCTAAGATGTACACCAGATGCAAGAATTACAGTCTCTAACTAGGTGGAAAACCTTGACATAGTTTCAGCTTAACAGATGACACACGTGTTTCTAAATTTGAGCCAATTCCGCCCGCAAGTGCCCGACTTTGACGCTGTGTCTCAACAAATTCTTGGCACCATCTTGGCGATCGGTAATCTCCAAGCAGATCCTAGGGTGGCAAAAGACAGTATCAAATTGACCAGGCAGTATCCAAGGGTGGCGTATTGGACCCTCTCTGGCCAATGGATACGGCCCGGCCAATTTGATACTGTCTTTTGTCACCCTAAGATCACAATAGGGTGATGCAAATTTGGTTAAGTCCAATTTCTTGTGTGAGAACTTACAGTTTCAACCCGTTTCATAATGGGTTATACCAACACAGATGGATATTCAAGATTACTATACTTCATCATCATCCACTGTGTTCTGCGTCTACAGGTGAATGGAAATGTCCTGTAGCCGCATTCAGTCTTTCTTTGTCTCTTTCCACCCTGCCTTCTGCCTCGCGAGCTCTCTAAGCTCCTTGAGTTTCTTTTCTGTTGTGAGAGGGCCTAGCCCTCTGCGCTTCAGGTCTCCCTTCAGTAGGCTGAGTAGGTGGATATGTCTACCTCTGCGAGCTTTATATCTCTTAGAGCTAAGGAATGAAAATTCCAGAGCTTTACTTAGTCTAGCATAGATGAAAAAAATGACAGAAACCATAGGAATAGCTCGCACTTCTGTACTTTTATTCAGCACAAAACACGGAACAGCCGAATCTTAGCTGCCTTTAAACACACCTTCTGTGCAGAAATCTGTTTCCCTTCTGTTAACACTGTTTTTTCTGTGCAAAATCTGGTTTAACGGAGATTCCGACGGATTTAAAACGTTAGACAAATATGTATTACAGGTGAAATGTTTCAATGAGTCACATTTTGTTGTTACTTTAGCTTATTTCAAGATTTCAAAATCAAAAAGCTTATTTCAAGATTCCAAAATCAAGATTCCAAAATCATTTCCAGTTGCTTGAGTATCTGTTTTTTGGCGTATCGTATTACCTGGATGTCTAACCTTCATCGACGTTTAGCTTATTACATTTGTATGAATGGCATAGTACAAATCTTACGAATTGATGTCATACATCTATCTGACCAACCAATGGTTAACAAAGTTAAAGTTGCAAACTCACACATGTTGATGGGTTAGCATTTAAGGATCAGGCACGTATAAGGTTGGTAGCATGGAATGAATGAAATTGAAAGTTGAAAACAGATTTCTACTTAATCAAACATGTATATGTCAATAAATCAATCAACCCATCCATCGATAACCAATCGATCAACTAATTAATTGATGTTTAAAGTAAAAACTTTTTGTTTCACTTGACACTGCAAGGATTTTAGACACTGAACAAGACTATTTCTTGAGAGGGGTGAAGGAAGCCATATACATCAGGGCCCATCACCCTTCATTGAACCGCGACGGGGGCCGACATCGTCTACCAGATACCTTTGACCCAGTGTTGACGTCACACTTCAAAGAAGCCACGTGACAAGCCTCACTGGGTCAGTCTACTGAGGAAGACCAGAGTGACTGGTGGAAAGCTCTAGGTGAGAGAATTTTTTTGTGTTGGACCAAAAGTTTTAACTTTAAACATGACTAACTACCAACACAGATGAACTTTCATGATAGTCATTAATTGATGGTTTATCAGATGGAGGGTAAGGTCCTGAACAGTTTTGGCTGAACCGTCTAACGTACACTTCAGTCCACTTAGTTCGTTTTGCTATTTTATAATAGTCTCCATCAGGCTAACACCGAGAACAATCGGCCTGGGGAGTTGGGCTAGCCTCTTCCAGGCTTCGGGAGGCGGCCGGAAGGAGTAGAATTTGGCCAAATACAGAGAGATCATGCCGGATACGGCAAACTGTACTCTTAAGCGGACCAACTCACCCGCAATGTTATCTCTATTTGGTCAAATTCTACTCTTTCCAGCCGCATCCCGAAGCCTGGAAGAGGCTAGATTTTGGCCACCGCAGAGTTTGCCTTTGTTAAGCTATCTATTGACAATGCCCCTACTGTACTTGGTGACAGCGAGTTCCACTCTGCGATAGTTCTAGGGTAGAATTAATTCTTGAACACCTCAATCTTTGGTTGGTAACTCTGCTGGTAGTTGAATTTCTTGTTCTCTTCTAGGCTGGTATTAGGTACTTACATTGTACGGTTGGAATGAAACCCTAACAGTGAACCAACTCCCCCAGCCGCATTTTTGCCGAATGTTACTATCCTAACCCCCTTTGCAAGGCCTGGTGGAGGCTAGCGTTTATGCAAATAATACTAGCAATGAAAGTATACAGTGATAATAAAAGCAGAACCTCGGTTCTTCTACTGGCAATGGGATAAGCAATGCATAATGATGATATTGTATAGATATTTGATTGACATGTATAATGTTATACAATGACTAAATAATTCACACCAACTCCCCATAACCTCCTGGTTTGAACATAAAACTGTTGAACACCGGAACTATCCTCACGATTTTTGTAGAAACACATTTGGACATTATTTTTTAAAAAACATTCAGACCTAAACATGTGGCTTGTATGGTGGGGCTACTAGTGATACTTCAATCGGTCACACTTTTGTATTTCAGAGTTTTCAAGCCTAGTTCCTTTTCGTTTGTGTCCAAAAGTATGGTGCCAAGATTTTCACTCGGTGTGGAAAATGTTTGGTTTCGTCCAAAACATTAAGAATTTGTAAATAAAACCACCCATTGTGCGCGTTAAAAGTCGTTGAATCGGATGGTCTGTTGTGTGTCGTTTAATGTTCATGAACCGTACCAGATGGAACTTTTCAGATGGAACTTTTTGTATTCCAGAAACGTCCCAATCTAGGCCTGAATGGGTTAGGGTTAGGATCAGACACAGTTCTGGATAGCCTCTACGGTATCCAAGAAATGTAGATTTGTCCCAGATATGTCCAGGACTGTCCAGAATCGTGGCTGAAAACGGTTCTGGATAAAACAAGTTTCAGGATAAAGCACGGTTCTGGATAAGACATGGTTCTGAATAAAATTAAAGCACGGTTCTGGATAAAACAGTACATAGCAAATGTTTGTCTCCACTATAGTCACTCACTGCTAGACACAAAGTACGAATGTGTAATACTGAGATTAAAATGTTTAATTTTCCTTTTGGTTGACAGTTTTTGGGTAAAATATGGTTTGATCCACGATTAATGAATGGACTCCTACACAAAAGAGTCCCTCCCCCCTTCCCAATTTTCTGACCCCCCCCTCCAGACGTATGCCCTCACCCCCTCTTTAGCCAAGAACTCTGTATCCCCCTTAGCCAACAACCCCACGCCCCCCCCACACCCTTCCCTCAAGTTAACACCCCATTTTCACTAGCGACCAGCAACCCAAATTGAACTCATGTGATCCTTCATTTCAAAACATATGAAACGTAAAAGAAAAACTGTTTCTTATCTACAAAATTCGTCGAACGATCTGTCAAATCTTGTCTTTCAGTGATTTCCCAGCGGTCTCTCAGTGATCTTTCAGCGGTCCTTCAATGGTTGCTCAGGCTCTAGTGGAAGTGTTGTTGTTTGTGTGTTCACGGCAGCATCTCCATGAGGTCAGCTGGGGTCATGGGGATGATGGAATGTCTCCTGGCGCGACCTCTGCGCCCGCGACGCCCGTTCTTACAGTAGTCCTCGATGTAACTGCAGGGGGGAGGGGGGGTAAAAATGGTTTGAGAAGTTAGCAGTAGTACTTTCTTCAACTCTTAGGGCAAAAATGTGAGCAATTTGGGGTTAATTTAAAAGGCCTAGTCAGAAAAAAATCCGACAACCAATTGATTCCACTGGTGTGGCCTCAGATGTACCTGACACCATGTCTAGTCATTGGAGTATAAAAAGAAATAGGGTTTGAAACCTGTCAGAATAAACTAGAGAAGTAACATTTGCAAAGCAAATGCATAATGTTTACCTTCGGACATGGTCTGCTCTGTTAATTCTTACTCAAACATATTCACATACATGTACTACTAGTATATGGTGACAGGAGCAGAGCAGACCATGAAATTGCAACATTATGTAACCCAACACCAGTCACCATGGTGACAGACGTCAACAAATCATGTCATTGATCAGACTCAGAGGTCACTGTTTGGAGAAGAAGAAGAAGAAACGGAGCAAAAACAATATTTTTCCTTTGGTAAACATAATGAATGAAAAGAATATGTAAGCACAAGTACCTGACATCTCGGCGCAGTGTGGCCTTGAATGAGCTGTAGTTGCGGTTCTCTCCGCACAGCGTCGCTACACCAGAGTAGTAACAGGAGTACAGCTGCTCGTGTGCTCTGCAGAAAAAAAATAACATTCCTTACTCTTAGAGAAAAAAATCAAAAGGTTTTTTTTTATTCCAACATTTCATGACTAGACATGGCGATGGCACACTCAATTTATATCAACTTATTTTATGCCGCCACCAACGCAGAGTACAAATACAGTAATTTTCACTTGAGTCAAGTGAGGAAAGTCGTGTAAAGTGCCTTTCCAAATGGCACAAGATCAGTGGCATGTCAGGACTCGAACCCGGGACCTCTTGGTTCCAAGTCAAGCACTCTACTGCTATGCCACGCAACCCCACCCAGGGGTCATGATCATACCTCTATTTGTTCTAAGGCGAACACTCTTTAGGAAACCTCCAAACTGACCTGCAGGCTCCCCTGACAGCATCCCGGCCACCCCTGGCCCGGATTCTCCCAGTCTCAGCCTTGTACAACTCACAAACAAACAAACAAACAAACAAACAAACAACTAACAAACAACTAACCTGCATGCTCCCCTGACTGTATCCCTGCCACCTCTCGCCCGGATTCTCCCAGTTTCAGCCTTGTACAACAAACAAACAAACAAACAAACAAACAAACAGACGGCTCACCTGCAGGCTCCCCTGACCGCATCCCTGCCTCCCCTCGCCCGGATCCGCCCAGTTTCAGCCTTGTACAACAAACAAACAAACAAACAAACAAACAAACAGACGACTAACCTGCATGCTCCCCTGACTGCATCCCGGCCTCCCCTTGCCCGGATCCGCCCAGTCTCAGCCTTGTAGCGTTTCCAACAGTCCAGAAACTCTTCCCCCAGGAACATCACACAGCTGTCTCCCAGCACTGGGGAGAACCAATCAATAACCAATAATCAATAATCCATCCATCAATCAATCAATCAATCTGAAACTCTTCCCCCAGGAACATCACACAGCTGTCTCCCAGCACTGGGGTATCAATCAATAGAGAGAACTTTATTGCAAATCCATACCATGACATAACAGGTGAATATCACCTCTTCAAGATGTCAAACCTGACACCAGACTGTAAGGTTTGAGCCACTCACACCGGGAAGGACCCCTACTCTTTTTCTTAAAGTGCGGTGGGTTCTTTAACGCGTGGGGTGTGGCTTTGAGTTTCCTAAACACGGGACCTCCATTTAACGTCCTATCCGAGGGACGTCCCTAACCGAAGCTAGGTACCCATTTACATGAGTCAAATGAGGAGAGTCATGTAAAATGCCTTTAAGTTAATAGTTTCCCAAGGGCACACGATCAGTGACATCGGGCAGGATTCGAACCCGGGGCCTCTTAGGCCTGGGGCAAACATGCTACCGCTACGCCACATGACCCCACAATGAACAGCCTCCAGTTTAATTCCGGACTTCCAGTTTAATTCCGGACTGGCCTCCCATATCTCAGCCACCTTACACCCTGATGGGCTAAAATTGCAAACTATAGGTAAAAATGATGTAAGAAATACGTAGCCACCATCGATTGCCCCCTGGGGATTAATCTAAATTTGCAACATTATGCATAATTATGCATAATTATGCATAATTATGCATAAGGGTTTGAGGGTTATGCATAATTATGCATAATGGTCAAGAGTTATGCATAATGCTTCAAACAGTTATGCATAATTGTTCATAAGGCTTCCAAGGGTTATGCATAATTATGCATAACTGTTCTCAGGCTTATGCATAATTATGCATAACTGTTCTCAGGCTTATGCATAATTATGCATAACTGTTCTCAGGCTTATGCATAATTATGCATAATAGTGGAATTTTCCAAGTTACGCTCTGTTTACCATTGGTTTTGCTGTTATATCTGTTGTGTTGTGTTGACTGTAGTTTGTTTGTTTGTTTGTTTGTTTTAGGATCTCCATCAGTGTGAATTTCACACTACTCTTGTCCGTAGTGAATAATCAGATAAGTACTAGTATTTGGACCATCGCACACCAGGGCATGCCCCTTCTCTTTTTCAAAAGGTGTGGTTTGTTACAACACTACATGGACTCTTAGCTGGTGAGTTACACTGGCCAAAGGGTGGCCAAGGTTTAACTGGCCTTTCTTATTAGGTAGGTCAACTTCTCTCTGTTTGTAGACCCCGTTCACCTTCAAAAAGATGGATCCGGATTGACCACGGACCCCGATCGAAATTATTGAAATTCAGTCAATCCAGATCAGTTTTTGCAGTGTGAACACTCAAATCCAGATTGATTTTCTCCCATCCCGATCCAAAAGTAATCCACCTCGAGGAGGTAGTTCAAGACACTTGCGGCGGGATCAGGCGTAACCGCGAGTGTGAACACAAAATGGATTGGCTTCCGATGCCTGGTGTGATGCAAAGTACCACAAAAATAACCGATCAGCCTATAATATCATTAGACATGGACCTTGTAAGATGCTGTGAATACATTGCCAATCAAGTATGAATAGAAAACACGCAGTTACATGTTTTCCCCCAAGTTACTAACTTTACGCTCGAAAGTTGAATGGCGAGTGGGATCACAGTCTTTTTAGTGAATGTTACAACCCGCAAAATATCAGCCTTCACGCAACGGGAGCTAAATCCTGGCCACTCAAACATGTTCACAGAGGAAATCAGTCCTATCTGGCAAAATAGATCCTAAAAGGATATAATTTGTTGAAACTGTCACAGATGGCCTAATATAAGCTACTTCTAATATTGCCCTAACGTTAAACTGTTACATCAGATGTATTCGTTTTCTTCTGTCGTTGGTCTATATTTCTGCCTAGATTCCACGTTGTATAAACTTTTTGAGTTCCTTCTTAAGCAAAATTTCTGGCGCAGTTGCAGCGGTTCTGGCGTGGTCAAGATGATGGGCAATCTGCATTTGAAATGCGGTGACTTGAAACACAAAAAAAAAGCAATTTAACTGCAAATCTAAGTGTTAGCAACAAGGATGTAGTGTTTGCCCACACAGCTGAGCAGCATATACATATTGTATAGTCAAATTTTTATAATGGAGCATTGGGTTTTTCTCTGCTGCATAGAAGTTTACCCTTACAGTCATGTTACGAGAAGTTTCTAAACGGGAACAAACTATGCGGCTGCAGATGTCTTACTGAGGGACGACTGTACTGTGTGTGCAAGATGTTGGTTAGCTTGAGGAATGAATCCCCTTCAATTTATACCTCTAGATCTGGGAGGAGGTTTGAAACTTTTTACTGAGCACAATGCTACTAAAATTGGCTCACTTTGCATATTGATTCTGACAAGAGTTATCCTACAGGTATGAAGTGGCACAGGGAACAATTTTCCTGCAGCCTTTTTGTAGTGCCCATTCATGCTCTCCATGTTATGAAGGACAATCTTCCCTTCCCCCTGTGCAGTGCTGAAAGCGTTTACCATCATCCAACATGGTAGTCATTTTTGAATTACATTGATTCTGGTAGTTTGGTACAAAGTTTCCAATAGTTGTCAGAGAGTAGATTCTATTTTATTCAACTGGAAGAAGTGAAAATTTCATGTGCATTGTATATGCCTCAAGAAAGGCTTCACATGTCTTAATTACACGCTGGATTAGCCAGCTAATCCTTGGGAGACCCTCACACTCACAGTGCAGTTGGGTGGACTCTGGTACAAATGTAGGCCCTCTGGTCAGGGGATAAATCATTTAGCAACACCAGAAGCCAGACACATGCTGTTTGGGGACCACCTCTATTTATTCTTAGGAGGTCTCCTGATACCTCCTTATCTAGGGCAGATGAGGCCATGACAAGCAAGCCCACAATTTTCTACCACAGTTGCTTCTTGGAGATCATGTTACAAGCCAACCCTAGCATGCTAACCAGTAGTAGGCATTTTGTTGGTCTACTAAAAAGGTTACGAAAAAATTGCAGAACTTTTGAAACTTAAAAAATCACTAGTGGATGGGTTATAGTATTGAAAACTAAACTTGTAAGTAATATTTTCATAATTTACCAAGGATATACATTTTGTAATGTCCTTCTTAAAGCATAGTCTTGATGTCAGACTGTTTCCAGTATTTTAAACACATTGTCTAGTATACAGTCAAACTTGTAAAAGTGACCACCTCTCCGTGAATAGTTTCATCAGGTTAGTAAGTCACTGAGTAGAGAGAGACTCTCTTTACACAAGTCTTTTATTCAACATTTCGGTGACTGTCTCTCACCTTCCTCAGGGCAACCGTGGACCTGTTCTCTGTGTTCTCTGTAAATGCTTTGATCTCATAACTGACCACAATTTTGTATATATGCAACTCCTTTGTTTGGCATTATAGTGATACAGTTCCCTGTAACCATGATGCATTTGGGAATGCTGTGTAGCAGCGACACCTCACACCTGTGCTGCAATGCAATGTGAAGTCCGACAATTGCCCTGAGAAGGTGACAGACGGTCACCGAAACGTCAGCTGAATAAAAGACTTGGTTGTGTAGAAAATGTCTCTTAGTCATGATCAGTGACCACCTCTATAAGCCGGCCATCTGGTCATAATGACAGCTTTTTCTCATTCCCAAATTTTACGGCATACATGTATGTTGTAAGACAACCACTTGTCCAATGCCACCACGACTGGCACTATATTTGGGGGATGCACATCATGGCTCAACCTCTGCATATGACGACCATGCCATTTTCAAATGTGGCAGAAAACGTTTTTGATGATAGCTAGCAAGAAGTCTTGATGGAAGCGGCCAGTTTGCCATTGATTAGACAGCATGGCCATCTTTGTGCAATACAAAATCAGGTACCAGCTGGGTCACTTTGGGTCAGCAGTCTAGAGTAGAGTATAGTATTGTACACTGGGTGGGAATTTTGCTGAGGTTTTCTTGGCTTTCACATACATGTATCTCCTCGTCCTTGCCATACTTTTTGTATAAGAAGACCACTTTTCCTTGGTCCCGAGTGCTCGAAAAGTTACAGTATGTACATGTACATGTACAAACGTAGGTCAGCTCTTCTGCCCCATGTCCAACAAGGGGCATGTACATTTTGTAATGCACACACATACTGGCCAGGTACATGTAAGATAACTACATGTATATGTAACTGTAAGGCAGATTTGGTTCCTCAGGAATAAGGCAGTAATATGCTGGATTCCTCCCTTGCTTGTTTACTGAAGCACTCCACCCTGGCAGCTAGGGTAACACAAGTGTAATCCTCTTCCTCTGACTTCTAGCAGTAGAGGTCGTCACACCAAATTAACACTCAAGTCAATGATTGGCCAGGAGTTTCCCCACTGGACATCCATGTGTGGAGATCTCGAGAGAAACTAGGTCACCACAGGTCAACCCTATCTCCTTACACATCCCTAGGCTGGCCTGTGTGTCAGAGCTGCCCAGGCAGTGTCTGTAACACTAACTTCTTTAGTACCTTGTGAGTCATTCAAATTCCACCAACAATTTCAACTTTGTGGGTAACTTCACATGGATCATTTGAACAAGGAGGTTAACATTAGAAGGTTCATCTTTAACCTCCTTATTTAGGCCACTGCAAGTAATTTCTATAAACCCTCATCAACATATGTATATACATATCATTGACATTGACATTAGACATTGGTGGTGGTGTCAGACAGCTGATACTAGAATAAAGAAAGCCCCTCTTTTCACTGATCCTAATCACCAGGTCAATATTACTGACTGCCCAACATAGTCACTCTAGAGTTCCTCTTTAGAGTAGAGTAGAGTAGAGTAGAGTAGAGTAGATCTTTAGACGGTGTGGTTCCCTAGCCTGGGTGCCAAACCCATAGCACACTGGACACAATATATCTCAGTGAGCCAGTTGTGCTTGCCTTCCAGTGTGTTCAGTGAATTCTCCAAGCAGATGTTAGGCTACAAAAGTGTGATG